GAGTGAAGTGGGAACACTTCAGGAAGACTGGAGGAAATTTCCAAAACCTCACCCAGTGCCGTAAGTGCCAGGGATGGGGTCACGGAACTAAAAATTGCTACATGCCAGCTAAATGCATGAATTGTGGTGATTCCTCTCACGCAAAGGACGACTGTCCTGTGAAGGAAGATCCTAAGAAATTTAAATGTTCAAATTGTGGTGAAAACCACAAATCCAATTTTTGGGAATGTAAGACTCGCAAAGCGATCCTACAATCTCGTTCTAACCGTCAGGTAGGAAACGCTCCACGTTTCCGACCAGGTACAAATTCCTCTGCTGTTAACAACGGTCAGCGAGGAACAAATTCTACATTCGTACCTGTAGGTACAAATATCTCCCCTGCTTCAAATGTTTCATCTGTACCTACTCCCCTCGCTGCTAACAATGTTCAGCGAGTTAATGGAGCTACCTATGCTGCTATTGCAGCGGGTAGAAATCAAAATACTAACCAACGTTCTAACGGAAATTTTGACAATTTTGACTTAGGAAGCATTACTGCCCCCAAAATGGAATTTTTACAGAATTCATTAATTGACATGATTTCTGATATGCTTAAATCTAACTCCATGTTTGATGCTATTCAAACTGGAGTAAAATTTGCAAATAATATTGTCATGACTTTAAAATTCAGTAATGGATTTTAAAGCATTAAATATTGTAAATTGGAATGCTCGATCTCTTAAAGATAATGAAGACGAGCTATTTAACTTTTTGAGAGTTCATAACGTGCATATTGCCGTTATAACTGAAACGTTCCTTAAACCTGCCCATAAGGTTAAGAAGGACGCAAATTACTTGATTTATAGAAATGATCGTCTTGATGGACCCTGTGGTGGCGTTGCCATCATTATTCATAGACGAATCAAACATAAAATTCTTTCTTCATTTGAAACCAAAGTTTTTGAAACTTTGGGAGTTTCTGTTGAAACAAAATTTGGACAACTTACGTTTATAGCTGCCTATTTGCCATTCCAATGCGTAGGCCAGCAAAAGAATTTTCTCAAGGGTGACCTCCAGAAACTTACCCGTCATAGGTCTAAATTCTTCATTATTGGTGATTTTAATGCAAAACACCGCTCATGGAATAATGCTCAAAGCAATTCCAATGGTAATATTCTGTTTGATGATTGTTCTGCAGGTTATTACACTATTCAATATCCAAACAGCCCAACATGCTTTTCTTCTGCAAGAAATCCCTCCACTATTGATTTGGTCTTAACTGATTCATGTCAACTTTGTAGCCAATTGGTTACCCATGCTGACTTCGGTTCTGATCACCTTCCAGTAACTTTTGAAATATCCCAAGAAATAATTTGTAATCCCAACAGCTCTACTTTCAATTACCATAGAGCTGATTGGGAGCAGTATCGAACATTTATGGAATATAACTTCGATCCAAACATTCCTTTGCAAACCAAAGATGAAATTAATTATGCTCTTGAATCTCTGACTACTTCTATAGTTGAAGCAAGAGCTGCCTCAGTACCAAAATGCGAGGTTAAATTCGATTCAATTATAATAGACGATGATCTTCAGCTCTTGATCCGTCTTAAAAATGTCCGCAGGAGACAATATCAAAGAACACGCGATCCTGCCATGAAAGTTATCTGGCGGGATTTGCAAAAACAAATTAAAAAGCGATTCTCGGCCCTGAGGAACAAAACTTTTGAAAATAATATTTCTAAATTAGACCCGAGTTCCAAACCCTTTTGGAAACTCACAAAAATTTTGAAAAAACCTCAAAAGCCTATTCCAGCGCTTAAAGAAGGTGGTAAAATTTTGATCACAAATTTGGAAAAAGCTCAGAAACTTGCTAAGCAATTCGAGAGTTCCCATAATTTCAGTTTGGGTCTTACTAGTCCTATTGAGAATCAGGTTGCTCGGGATTTTCTGAATATTTTCTCTCGGGAAAATATTTTTGATGATTCCTGGGGGACTGATTTGGACGAAGTAAGGTCTATAACTAAAAATTTTCAAAATATGAAAGCTCTAGGTGATGATGGAATTTTCTATATCCTCATCAAAAAACTCCCAGAGAGTACCTTGTCTTTCTTGGTAAAATTATTTAACAGATGTTTCCATTTGGCATACTTTCCTGATAAATGGAAAAATGCAAAAGTTGTTCCAATTTTGAAGCCGGATAAAAATCCAGCTGAAGCTTCTAGCTACCGTCCAATAAGTTTGCTTCCTCAATAAGTAAACTTTTTGAAAAGATAATTTTGAATAGAATGATGCTTCACATCAATACGAACTCAATTTTTGCAGATGAGCAGTTTGGATTTCGCCATGGGCATTCAACTACTCATCAACTCTTGAGAGTTAACAATTTAATTCGTTCAAACAAATCTGAAGGCCACTCAACTGGAGTTGCTCTTCTAGACATAGAAAAAGCATTCGACAGTGTTTGGCATGAAGGTTTGATTGCTAAATTGAAAAAGTTTAATTTTCCACTTTATATTATGAAATTAGTTCAAAATTATTTAACTGACAGAACTCTTCAAGTAAATTATCAAAATTCCAAATCTAATCGACTACCTGTTAGGGCAGGAGTTCCTCAGGGTAGCATTCTTGGGCCTATATTGTATAACATTTTCACTTCGGACCTCCCTGATTTGCCTCAGGGTTGCCACAAATCTTTGTTCGCTGATGACACAGGCATTTCCGCTAAAGGAAGAAGTCTTCATGTTATTTGCAGCAGACTGCAGAAAAGTTTAGATATTTTCTCTTCTTATTTACAAAAATGGAAGATTTCTCCCAACGCTTCCAAAACTCAACTTATAATATTTCCACATAAGCCTAGAGCTTCGTTTTTGAAACCTAGTAGTAGTCACATAGTCACTATGAACGGAGTTCCAATTTCCTGGTCAAACCAAGTGAAATATCTTGGATTAATACTTGACCAAAAATTAACTTTTAAAGATCACATTGCCAAATGTAACAAATATATAAAATGTTTGTATCCTCTTATAAACAGGAAATCCAAACTTTGCCTGACGAATAAATTTCTAATATTTAAACAAGTTTTTAGACCGGCCATGCTTTACGCTGTGCCAATATGGTCTAGTTGCTGCACTACCAGGAAAAAAGCACTTCAAAGGATTCAGAACAAAATTCTCAAAATGATTTTGAAGTTGCCTCCCTGGTACAGTACAACCGAAGTACATAGAATTTCGAATGTTGAGACTTTAGCACAAATGTCCAACAAAATAATTAATAATTTCAGGCAAAAATCGTTGCAATCCTCAATTGCAACGATTAATTCCCTTTATACTTAGATAAGATTTAGTTTTAGTTTTTAGTTTTAAGATATAATTGTTATACTGACATGCAGGTTAAAAAACCTGTTTAAAATACTGAATTGCCAAGACATGAACAATGTAAAAACACTTAGATATATATCATAACAATTAAGGCTGGTACGTTACTGCAGTAACTGGAGCACCTAGGTTAAAATGAAATGTAATTTATTTTAAATTTGGAACAAATAAAGAGTTAAAAAAAAAAAAAAAAAAAAAAAAAAAGCCAAATGGGATGTGTCATTTTGAATTATTCTACATATATTTTTATGGTTGCTGTCCTTTTATGCTGGCGATTGATTTATGCTATCTTAACAGCAGTCATAATTTATAACTATCCAAGATATCACAAATCCACCACGTCCAGCATAAATTGAACAGTAACATAGAAACCAAATTGTTAATGATTTGTTAAACGCCAGAGGTGTTCTGAGTAAAACGCATAAAGCGAATCCATTTTTATGTATCTTTATTTTTTGTTTTTTGATTTTAACTATCATCATATCCATAATCTTCCTCCTAATTAGCCTAGTACTTGTGACTTAAGAAGGGGCCTCGGAGAAACAAAAGTTCGTTGCGCCATTGCTTCGGTTAGCGCAGTAAGGGCTTCTTACTGCGGATGTTTTGATTTGATAACATACTGGTAGTTTTGGGAACTTTGTTTTACCCACGAATGTTTAGAAAAAGGTTTTTCCTGAAATTAGGAGAAAGTCAAGCAAGATAGATATGAGATAAATTAGAAAACACAAATGATAGTGCTGGGAAAATGTTGACCGAACTTTCGGAAACTAATCATAATTCCAAGAAAAAAGAGTAAAGGGACTTCACCACTTGTTTTGCAACGTACAATATAAACTAGATAATACATTATGTGAAACAACGCCATCAACGTCGGGGGCGGATGCATCGTTATTTTAGGCAGATTTATATTTTAAGGGCGCTTGTTAATATTGGGTGCAACTACTTAGCTCAAATTGTAAAAACACCGCACTGATTCAGATCAAATTGTTCTTATTTTGTGGTTTTCCTGGTAATTTTTTTTTAAATTTTGAAGCATAATCAATTTTCAGGAACTTTCAATTTGAATTATTTTTATAATAATTACCACCCCCTCTGCCCAATTCACCCATTTAACGTTTACCGTGGCATTCATCACAACAATCCTAAGCCCAACATCGTATTCAAGGTAAACAAAACGTCCCACGAGTTGTTAAGCTACCTCATCAAATAATAAAGTTAATGTGGAAAAACCTGTTTTTAGGTTCAAATGAAAACGGACTCAATGACAACCGGAATGAATTAAAATGCATCAAACCCTGTGCATATGTTTAAGCCTCACAGTGAAGACGAGTTGAATATACAGCTGATCAAGACAATACAAACATTTAACAAAGAAAACACTATCGGTTTCCATCCAGATGGAACTCAAAACACCGTAAAATAAACTATCCGCATCGCAACATTTCAACACTTCCATTGTTCCGTCCGTTCATGTACGTAGTGCACTTTGTCCGGGCGAGATTTATGCTGAGCCCTTGAACAATTAGCTCTGCTCCACTACCCACCCGGGCAAATATGTTTATCCTATTCAATTTTTCACACTCATCCATCTGGTTCTGGAAATTTCACGCTACAACTTTTCCTTTCTCCTTGGCGTCGTTTCAGAAAGAATGAAAAATAGATACGCGCGATCAATCGGAGCAGCAGCAGCATCGTTCAACGGCAGCAGAAACCGCGGTGGTGGAGGAAGATGCTCTCATGGCATTTCTTAACGTGCGTGATTGGAATTCTCCTCTGCCACGGATGTTTCCTAACGAAGACAACAACAATAGCTAATGCAAGTAAGTAGACGCGATCCGCGCCGTGACCAACTGGCTCAGCCTGTTGAATGGACCGAACTGGGAAATTCTCATCAAGTCAGGGTTGGCCGTATTCAATCCAATTTGAATGCATTTTCACACCGATTAATCCGGTTCGGTGTGTTTTGTAAAACGTTTATCACAAAGGGTGAATGAGGTTTTTCTGCTAAAAGATCAGCGGTGAACCATCGTAGAATCGTGTGTTAAATTTGTTGAGCTTTGCGAAAAAAGCGATTATACCACCAGTTGACTACCGACTGCTTTGGTCCGACTTATGGGGTTGGATGGTAATCATCATTTTTTTGAGTTTGTGCAACTCTAGCCGCGAGATTGGTTTTGCTGATCGTGTGTAATTTCAAGATGGGATGAGTACCCATGACCTATGGCTTACATAAATTCATCACATTAGAGCACAATGGAGGTCAGTGAGCAGCTGAGCAATTTGTCATCGTTAGGCAACCATTCCCACGATCTCTAATCATGGTCACAGAAGTAATTTATGTCTATCTTCATCCTTAGACGTAATCCACAACGTGCTGGGTGTTCCATCGACCTGCGTCCATCAGAACGTAGTTCGCCAGTGTCGATTGTCGTTCTCCTGCTGGCTCGAAGGTGGTCGCCATGTTGCCGGCTGTGGCGACAGCCGCTGGCTCTTTTCATGTTGCATCAAGGACAATGAAATTTCTACATCGCCAGCGATCATCACCTCAAAATTGGCATTTGCTGCACCGATGCGACCGATGATAGCCCCCATGCCGGTGGTTCCGGTCAATCCACACTCGTACGCCGCAGCACAAAAGAGCAGCTTCCTTCGTCGACGATCGGATCAGATGGCAAACATGGTAAGTGACTGAACTTATGAACGCATATCCCGCACTGACCACCTCCTTTCAATTCGCAGGACTGTGGCATCCCTCGGACTGCCCAGAATACTCTGCAGAAGCGCATCATTGGAGGTCGTACGGCAAACTTCGCCGAATATCCCTGGCAGGCACACATTCGCATAGCCGAGTACCAATGCGGTGGTGTGTTGGTTTCACGGATGTTCGTAGCCACAGCCGCCCACTGCATCCAACAGGCACGCCTCAAAGATATCGCCATCTACCTGGGGGAACTGGACACGCAAAATTCCGGCAAAATAGCCGAACCACTTCCGGTGGAGAAGCATCGCGCTGAGATGAAGATCGTTCATCCGAAGTTCCTCTTCCGAATGACGCAACCGGATCGGTACGATCTAGCGTTGCTCAAACTGACCAGGCCAGCCGGCTACAAATCGCACATTTTGCCGATTTGCCTCCCGGTGAGGCCATTGGAACTGATCGGACGGAAGGGAATCATAGCCGGCTGGGGCAAGACGGATGCCAACATGGGGCAAACCGGAACGAACATACTCCGGACGGCGGCGGTTCCGATTATTAGTAATGCCATGATGATTGAAGTTGTGCTGGAAAATTCCTTAGATTAACTGTTTTCCCACAATTTCAGGTACAAAAGAGTGTCTTCGGTGGCACAGCAGCAAACACATCAATGTTGAGCTCCACAATGAAATGTTTTGTGCGGGTCACTCGGACGGCCATCAGGATGCTTGTCTAGGTAAGGTTTCTGAAATGATGGGATTTTTTTAAATAATCATAGGGGAAACGGTCCTATTGTTGCGATACGTTAGAAGCGTTAGGAGCCTATTGTTATGTATGGAGACCTCCATGCACAACAATAGGCTTCTAACGCTTCTAACGTATTAGGTAGAGTAAGGTAGGCAGAAGTTTGTTTTGAGGTTTTTGATGAATATGCACACTAGACTGATGCGAAATTTGTCTTTTTTGCTCCACGGTGCTTCAATGGTTTCAAATCGGGTCCTGATTAGCCTCTCAAAGTTACAACTCATTTGGTTAGAAACAGACTTCGCACAAGCCATTTGAAGTTTACATGTAAATTACTATGGGAAATCTCAACTTTTTGTTCATTGCCTTCTAGTCTTTTTCCATATTGAGCTGCGGAACAGTTCGATAGCCATTCTTATAGAACATTTTCTCAACTACAACTTTGCTCAAGATTGTTTCTATGTAAAACGAGACAGGAAAAAGTTATTAATTATTTAAGAGATTGGTAAACTTATGACATGATCAAGCAGCTGCTCTGTAGGCAACACTGTGTTTTGCAGTGTGACATAGTAGCCATGATTTGTGTGTCCTATTCAACGCCCCAGAAACACCAATGTTGCCTGCTGAGCAGTTGATTGACCATGATCATAAGACATCAGCGCATTGAACCGTTGATAACTTTCGATCCTTGCATTAAATTAAAAAGTAGTCTGGAGCAAAGTTGTAGCTGGGAAAATTTCCCACAAGTAGAGTTGAAAACTTTTAAAGCAGACCAATATGGTGAATTATTAGATAGACATGAACAAAAATCTTGGTTTTACCATACACAGCAAAAAAATAATTTTGATTTCACATCAAAGTGGATGCACTACAATCATGTCGAAAATTTCATGTAATTTTTATGACCACATAAATAAACAAATGCAGTAAAAGCAGTGTAATGTCAGTTCATGCATTGTATTAATGATAATTTTGTCCTTTTTAGCAAGTAATATTACACCATATTTTCGACATGATTGTAGTGCATCCACTTTGACGTGATATCAAAATTATTTTTTTGCTGTGTAGTAATTCCCATACAAACTTCAATTGGTTTGTGCCATCTCAGTTTCTCACCAAATAAGTTCAAATTTTGAGAGGTTAGTCAGGATCCGATTTGGAATCGTTTAAGTATTGTGGAGTGAAAATTTCAAATTTTGCATCACTCTAATGCACACTAAAACTCAATGTTCCAACAGCTACTTGAAAGGTCTTTAAGAGGCAACATCAGAAACAAAACTCACAACAATTAATGAGGTTTTAGAGAAGTTGCAGGGAAATGTGTATTTTGAAGTGACAAATTATGACCTTTGTACGAACTTTGCAGTTGTACAAAGATCATAAATTTTGGATGGATGATTTTATGTTCGTGTTTTCCGTACACCACCATATTTTTGTTCGTGTTTTCCGTACACCACCGGCACCGCTGGAATCACCTATAGTGGGGCAAAAAGTAGAGCCTAACCCCAAATCAATGTAAAAATACACATTAGGGTGGTTCAAAATATCGATTTTTCAGGTCCTGGTAATTCTCCTAAAATTTGAGCACGTATGGATGCGAACCCATACTGCACTGGCTTACTTTGAAGTTCGTTCAAAAAGTTGTAGCTGATAAAATTTCACATTTGACAATAGCAAACTTTTCCGTAAATTATGATGGCAAAGTTCAAAGACGTTGAGTACATAAAGTTTACTTTTTCTGTAGTAATCAACCATATCAACCCATATCAACTTCAAAGGCCCAGCAGTATGAGTTCGCATCCGGGTATAAAATTTTCGACCATCTGAACACCCCCCAAATCGAGATTAGAGCCATATTTACGGAGATAAATCGATTTAAAGGTTTGGGAAATCCACCGGCCAACAAATAAAGGATTTTGATATGTTTTATTCTAGGAAATCCAGGTATAAGAATTTCGACCATCTGAACACCCCCAAACCGCGATTAGAGCCATATTTACGGAGATAAATCGATTTAAAAGTTCGGCAAATCCACTGGTCGAAAAATAAAGGATTTTGAAATGTTTTATACAAGGAAATCTATTTATTTCGACCATCTGAACGCCCCCCAAATCGTGATTAGAGCCATATTTACGGAGATAAATCGATTTAGAGGTTTGGAAAATCCACTGACTGACAAATAAAGGATTTTGAAATATTTTATACTAGGAAATCCGGGTATAAAAATTTCGACCATCTGAACACCCCCCAAATCGCAATTAGAGCCATATTTATGGAGATAAATCGATTTAAATGTTTGGAAAATCCACCGACTGACAAATAAAGGATGTTGATCCGGGTATAAAAATTTCGACCATCTGAACACCCCCCAAATCGCGATTAGAGCCATATTTACGGAGATAAATCGATTTAAAGGTTCGGGAAATCCACTGGCCGACAAATAAAGAATTTTGAAATATTTTATACTAAGAAATCCGGGCATAAAAATTTCGACCATCTGAACACCCCCCAAATCGCGATTAGAGCCATATTTACGGAGATAAATCGATTTAAAGGTTTGGAAAATCCACCGATTGACAAATAAAGGATTTTGAAATATTTTATACTAGGTAATCCGGGTATAAAAATTTCGACCATCTGAACACCCCCCAAATCGCGATTAGAGCCCTATTTACGGAGATAAATCGATTTAAAGGTTTGGAAAATCCAGCGACTGACAAATAAAGGATTTTGGAATATTTTATACCAGGAAATAAAATAAAAATTTCGACCAACGGAACACCCCCCAAATCGCAAATGGAGCCATATTTACGGAGATAAATCGATTTAAAGGTTTGGAAAATCCACCGATTGACAAATAAAGGATTTTGAAATATTTTATACTAGGAAATCCGGGTATAAAAATTTCGACCATCTGAACACCCCCCAAATCGCAATTAGAGCCATATTTATGGAGATAAATCGATTTAAATGTTTGGAAAATCCACCGACTGACAAATAAAGGATGTTGATCCGGGTATAAAAATTTCGACCATCTGAACACCCCCCAAATCGCGATTAGAGCCATATTTACGGAGATAAATCGATTTAAAGGTTCGGGAAATCCACTGGCCGACAAATAAAGAATTTTGAAATATTTTATACTAAGAAATCCGGGCATAAAAATTTCGACCATCTGAACACCCCCCAAATCGCGATTAGAGCCATATTTACGGAGATAAATCGATTTAAAGGTTTGGAAAATCCACCGGCCGACAAATAGAGGATTTTGAAATATTTTATACTAGGAAATCCGGGTATAAAAATTTCGACCATCTGAACACCCCCCAAATCGCGATTAGAGCCCTATTTACGAAGATAAATCGATTTAAAGGTTTGGAAAATCCAGCGACTGACAAATAATGGATTTTGGAATATTTTACACCAGGAAATAAAATAAAAATTTCGACCAACGGAACACCCCCCAAATCGCAAATGGAGCCATATTTACGGAGATAAATCGATTTAAAGGTTTGGAAAATCCACCGATTGACAAATAAAGGATTTTGAAATATTTTATACTAGGTAATCCGGGTATAAAAATTTCGACCATCTGAACACCCCCCAAATCGCAATTAGAGCCATATTTACGAAGATAAATCGATTTAAAGGTTTGGGAAATCCACCGACCGACAAATAAAGGATTTTAAACTGTTTTATTCTAGGAAATCCGGGTATAAAAATTTCGACCATCTGAACACCCCCCAAATCGCAATTAGAGCCATATTTACGAAGATAAATCGATTTAAAGGTTTGGAAAATCCAGCGACTGACAAATAAAGGATTTTTGAATATTTTATACCAGGAAATAAAATAAAAATTTCGACCAACGGAACACCCCCCAAATCGCAAATGGAGCCATATTTACGGAGATAAATCGATTTAGAGGTTTGGAAAATCCACTGACTGACAAATAAAGGATTTTAAACTGTTTTATACTAGGAAATCCGGGTATAAAAATTTCGACCATCTGAACACCCCCCAAATCGCAATTAGAGCCATATTTACGAAGATAAATCGATTTAAAGGTTTGGGAAATCCACCGACCGACAAATAAAGGATTTTAAACTGTTTTATACTAGGAAATCCGGGTATAAAAATTTCGACCATCTGAACACCCCCCAAATCGCAATTAGAGCCATATTTATGGAGATAAATCGATTTAAATGTTTGGATAATCCACCGACTGACAAATAAAGGATGTTGATCCGGGTATAAAAATTTCGACCATCTGAACACCCCCCAAATCGCGATTAGAGCCATATTTACGGAGATAAATCGATTTAAAGGTTCGGGAAATCCACTGGCCGACAAATAAAGAATTTTGAAATATTTTATACTAAGAAATCCGGACATAAAAATTTCGACCATCTGAACACCCCCCAAATCGCGATTAGAGCCATATTTACGGAGATAAATCGATTTAAAGGTTTGGAAAATCCACCGGCCGACAAATAGAGGATTTTGAAATATTTTATACTAGGAAATCCGGGTATAAAAATTTCGACCATCTGAACACCCCCCAAATCGTGATTAGAGCCATATTTACGGAGATAAATCGATTTGAAGATTTTGGAAATCCAGCGACTGACAAATAAAGGATTTTGGAATATTTTATACCAGGAAATAAAATAAAAATTTCGACCAACGGAACACCCCCCAAATCGCAAATGGAGCCATATTTACGGAGATAAATCGATTTAAAGGTTTGGAAAATCCACCGATTGACAAATAAAGGATTTTGAAATATTTTATACTAGGTAATCCGGGTATAAAAATTTCGACCATCTGAACACCCCCCAAATCGCAAATGGAGCCATATTTACGGAGATAAATCGATTAAAAGGTTTGGGAAATCCACCGGCCGACAAATAAAGGATTTTGAAATATTTTATACTAGGAAATCCGGGTATACAAATTTCGACCATCTGAACACCCCCCAAATCGCAATTAGAGCCATATTTACGAAGATAAATCGATTTAAAGGTTTGGGAAATCCACCGACCGACAAATAAAGGATTTTAAACTGTTTTATACTAGGAAATCCGGGTATAAAAATTTCGACCATCTGAACACCCCCCAAATCGCAATTAGAGCCATATTTACGAAGATAAATCGATTTAAAGGTTTGGGAAATCCACCGACCGACAAATAAAGGATTTTGAAATATTTTATACTAAGAAATCCGGGTATAGAAATTTCGACCATCTGAACACCCCCCAAATCGTGATTAGAGCCATATTTACGGAGATAAATCGATTTGAAGATTTGGGAAATCTGAAATGTTTGCAACGGCAGCTCCTGAAGTTGAGGCAATCAGCTTGAATTTAATAGAACCGGTCAGAGGCTCTTGGATCTTCACTGAAGTTTACCGAAATCTATGGAACTACACTCAAGCTATCGGAGCCTACACTAAATATCTTAAAAATTGACGTTTTGAACGTTCTGGACGACCTGGATGTTTTTGAAATTGCCTTTAAATGCTTGTAATATCCACAAAATTATCACTGCTTCCAGAAGGTTTACGCTACTTTTCTGTTTTCAATGGAACTAGCATAAAGTGTTCAAAATTTTCCAAAAGATTTTATAGTTTCATTAAAATACCCGAACATTTTTCAGACGCTCATGGGACTCTTAATTTTTTTGAAGTTTTCTGGACTTTGTGCTAGAAACATATGTTAAGTTCTTGCAATTATTATAAAATTAATCAAACGCACATGAACTTATCGCATTTTTTTGAGGTTCACTCAAGTTTTAACTACTTCGATGAACTTCTCAGAACTTTCCCGAAGCTCTCGGAATTAAAGATCTTTAAAATTATTTGAAAATTTCTGAAGTTTGTTCAAAATCATGGAAATTTACCGGAATTTTTTTTTAAGCTAATGTAACTGCCGTAAAGCACTCTGAGCTTCATTTAAATTAACAGAACTTTGCAAGAAAATTTGGAACTGTACTAAAATTTCCGGAACCAACCTTTGAAGGTCTTTATTCTTCCCCAAAGTTCTGAACCCTCCTGTGTTTCTTTGAACTTCCCTGAAGGTTTTTAAACATCTCTGAACACTTTGAATATTCACTAAAGTTCTTGAAACATCACTGAAGTATTCATAATGAGTCTAAATAGCTCGGAACTATCATATTTTTCTGGAGTTCCCTGAATTTATTAGAACCTCGATGAATGTGCTGTTATTCTCCTGAAATTTAAAGAACTTTCCTGAAGTTCACTGAAATGCACCATGAAAACAAAATGTTTAAAAACTACCACACGAATGTTGGAACGAATCACAGGATTTATTTGAGGTTTGATCAAGAATTTCTTTAAAGTAATCTAAGATATCCATCTTAGATTTCTGGCTCTCTGTGGTTGTGTCCATATAATTTTCATAAAAGCTCTCTAGAAATCATCTAAAGAAAACTCATGACATTCGAGTTTGTAGATCACTTCGAACTTTGAATAATTGTAGCATAATTACCTTCGAATTCTCCATAGTATTTTTCGGAGTCTTTAGGAGTTTTGCTTCGCATTTTCTTCTTCTTCTTTTTCTTCTTTTTCGCATTTCAAGCTTATTGGATATCGCATATTAGCTTATTGCGTGCTCTCAACTTAGTGTTCTTGCACTTGTACAGTCATTAATTGAGAGCTTTCTTTGCCTGTACCATTTCTGATACATCCCTTAAATGTTTTAGTCTTCCTGACATTCCATTTATTCAAAAAAAAAAAACAATTTTAAAAACGTTCAATATTTTGAGAATTTAAATTATCAATCTTTGGGATAATCATACAACATCTAATTTTTTTTAAGTAAAAATTAATCTATAACTTATTTCCCAGACAGATTAATCTTGGAACCTTTAACAGTATTTCTTTGGAATTTGTTAGTTTGTTTGTCCCCACACTTCAACTTGAATAGAAGTGATGAAGACATTAAAGACATTTATTCGATCTGATTGAAGATATTTTCTCAAAAAAAAAAACTGGCTCAGGGCTCAAGATTGATTTGCCTCATGATAGATTTTGGTATGAATTACACATACGCAGGCATGGAAAATCATTTGCATTCATTTAGTGCATTCATTTACATTCATTTGCCCCTAACTTTATTCATCAACAGAATTCCGCAAAATGGTGTATGGAGCTTTTGTAGGTATTGTTATTAGCTAAAACTTTTGCCAGTAACTCAAATCTGTATCTCTTATGCATCACGAATTAGAGCGGGCAGAACTCGTTACTGTTTTTCAGTGAATGTAAAGTACATTCATTGAAAAACAGTATTGGATTCTGTCTGCTCTGGCTCATCATGCATAAGAGATACGGATTTGGGTTTTTGACAAAAGTTGTAGTTAATAACAAAACCTACAAAAGTTCCATACATCATTTTGCGAAATTCTATTGATGAAAAAAGTTAGGGGCAAATGAATGTAAATGAATGCACTAAATGAATGCAAATGATTTTCCATGCCTGCACATACGGACCCTTTTTCCCAACGACACCAGAAACATTTTCAACGTTACCGATAAATAGATTCTGGGTACTCAATGCTGCTAACATGCTTTCAAAGTCTCTTTGATTTTATCATCAAAATCACAGAATTCAGAAGCTCATTGACATATCGAGATACTGAATCAAAATAACACTACACCGACCAAATCGACCAAAGGAGGAGTAGACTTGTGGAAATGTCGACTTATGGAGAATACGATGCATAGAAAAATTAAGAAACCACCGAATCCATAGAGTTATAGAATATCGAGCTGTGGAGAGTAGTTCCAAAGAAACTCTGGTACGAATTTCAAGTGAATTTTAACAACAATTCTTACGGGATTGAATTCTGAAGTTAATTTCATTTGAATTTGAAGAAGAATTCTACTTCTTAATATATTTTCAAGGGTATAAGATGGGAAATTCAAAGGAAATTGTCTAAAGGCTCTGGGAGTGCTCTTAGCTAATTTTGAGGAGTATCTCCAGGTAAATTTTGGTACAATAATTATAGATTACTGAAACGAATTCCCACTTTATTTTAATGAGATTTCATTAGATTTTTTGTGAGTATTCCAATAAATTCTAATGGAGAGTTTCCAGGGAGTTTGGAGGAAAATTCACGATGATTCTGAATAGAATTCCGTGGAAATTTTGAGTAGAATTCTATGATAGTTAAAAAAAATCAGGTGAATCTTAATTATTGAATGGGAAAGCGGTCACATATCATACTGATCGCACGATTCTTTCGAACTCCGGTGTAGGCAAGCTGCAAGTGTACCAACTGCTTCACTGCCTACATCTAGGCGTACCTCTGCTAACGCTTCATCGCATCGCTTTCATCATATTCATTTTCGTTGAATAATTTCCTTTCGATTCTTCTCTCCTCCGCAGGTGACTCCGGTGGTCCGTTGATCATCAGCGATCGCGGCCGGTTCACGCTGATCGGCATCACCAGCGCCGGGTTCGGGTGCGGCGTGGACCACCAGCCGGGCATCTACCACAACATCCAGAAGACAGTCAAGTGGATCCAGAATGTGATTTTAACCGTAAGCTAAGAGCTGGCGAAGAAGCAACACCTGACCTGAACCGGACCTGACGATAATGGGACGCAGCTATGGCTGAAGGTGCTGTAAAATTAGGAATCAACAGTATTTTTTTTAAACCCTACTCAACGGAAATGATAAGTCGTCTAGTGATTGATAAGGTTTATCTAGTGCAAGCACTCTTTTGCTCTAAACTAGGCCGACAGAAAACAGGATATTTTTTTACCTTTACAACACGACAACAAGCTATGAATGTGATGATCTGAGCTTTTATAAATTTCTTTAAGAATTTTATACTGTACCTTTGTTTTAAAAAACGGGAAGATGCTTCAACTACTACTACTACTCGGTGGGTGATATTCTATTTTACGGTATATTAATGCTATTTTACCTCTTCACCTCAACGAACTAGGCACAGCGTAAATTCTGTTAGCTTTTGAAACGTAGAATGCGTACATATCTCCGTAGGCAAATGATAGGAAAGTATTTATTCAAAACAAATGAATAAAATTTATTTAATTAAAATTTTAAACCTGTTGTCTTATTAATCATGATGCCAACTCTTTTCACGTGGAACTGCTGACACTGAAAGACCAAGATTAGCGTAGACAGCTGTAAAACAGATTTAATAACTTCCGTGAACGAAGATCGTGCGTGATGACAAGAAAGAAGTTTAAATGGCACTAGCCACCGAAAAACATGCCTTTCACCACTGATGAGGGATACCTATTTGAATGAAGCTTAAGATTGTTCATATTTTGCAAAACGATGCTTTGGAATATGATACACCTTAATGCCAAAAATCAGCGCTCAATTACCTCGTTTACCTCCTTGACGATAAATAAGTGCTGAAGCCGTCATTTCCCCTTTTTATAACCGAAACATAAAAATTGTGACATCGAGCTTTTCTGTCCATCCACGCAGCGTTTAAAATGCGATTTACTGCTTTGAAAAGGTGATACCTACATAAGTTGATTGCGAAAGCTTTTGAATTGCTGCGGACGAAAGCATTGTTGAAAGTGAACTTTTAAGTCGAGACAGTGTGAGGTAAACGAAGAAATAAACTTTTTATGACTTTATTGTTTAGTCGGTGGCATAGGATGTGTTGTTGTCTCCTGTTTATGGCAAGTCATCTGGTAAGTAGTACACGGTGATAAGGTTTTGAAGACGGGGGTTTTATTGTCGTTTTTTTTAGAAAGCTTCACTGCCGATCCTACTCATACTGTTTCAAAGGAGCTGCTTGTATTGAGAGTTTAAATTGTATCAACAGTCGTTCAGAATATGATCTTGTTGTCTAAGCTCTCGGTGTAGACAACGGTCCATGGGACCAGGGATGCCAGAAGGTTTAAGTGGTGTTTACATCTGTGTTGGTTTGCTAGCGCTAGGGTACTAGAACTGTACTACAAAGCAGTCACCATAATGTAAACAGGGCGTCAGCATCTACCAGCATGAAATTTCAGGACCTACTGAAATTCGTGCTAGTTGGTTGAGCTGGTTGAGCTAGTGAACCAGCGTATATGTAAACATGCCATTCAGAAAAAAAGTCTTCAACCAGATCGAATAAATATCAGCAAATGTTTTCACCGCCACTTGTGGACTTGGTTAGTGCGGCGTGGGACTCAGAGGTGGCAGGGAGAGACAAATACCTCAATCTCTGATGCCTTCTTAACATATTTTTTCAGGATTTTTAAAATTTCACAAGTCTAAGGGTCTGTCCATCAACTACGGTAATGGATAGCCCTTAAGATCGATGCTAAAGGGTGATACGGTCAAAATTTGGTCAATATCAACTTGACGTATTGCTTTCAATTTTGCATTTAAAAAACCTGAACACCCCTCATTTTGAAGGTGTGTGTGTGTAGAATGTTGTTCCTATTTTGATTTTGGAATTCACTCTTCAGTTGTCAAAATGCCGTCCAAGCAAGAAGAGCAGCGTATCAAAATTTTGCTCGCGCATCGCGAAAATCCGAGCTACTCGCACGCAAAGTTGGCAAAATCGCTAAAAGTTGCCAAATCAACCGTTACAAATGTAATTAAAGTGTTTGGGGAACGTTTGTCGACAGCCAGGAAGTCTGGATCGGGGGGAAATCGAAATGGACGACGAAACCTACGTCAAAGCCGACTACAAGCAGCTTCCGGGACAGGAGTTTTATACGGCAAAAGGAAGGGGAAAGGTAGCAGATGTTTTCAAGCACATGAAACTGTCAAAGTTCGCAAAGAAATATCTGGTTTGGCAAGCCATCTGTACCTGTGGCTTGAAAAGCAGCATTTTCATAGCTTCCGGGACTGTCAACCAAGAAATTTACGTGAAAGAGTGTTTGAATAAACGTCTGCTGCCTTTCCTGAAGAAACACGGTTGTTCCGTACTGTTTTGGCCGGATTTGGCATCTTGCCATTACGGTAAAAAGGCCATGGAGTGGTACGCCGCCAACAACGTGCAGGTGGTTCCCAAGGACAAGAACCCTCCCAACACGCCAGAGCTCCGCCCAATTGAGAAATACTGGGCTATTGTCAAGCGGAACCTAAAGAAGACCAAAAAAACTGCTAAGGGCGAGCAGCAGTTCAAGGCAAACTGGCTTTCTGCGGCGAAGAAGGTGGACAAGGTGGCTGTACAAAATCTGATGGCAGGGGTCAAGCGTAAGGCCCGGCAATTCGGATTTGGAAAAGCGGAAGCCTAACTGAATATTTTTCCTGAATTTTATACTAATTGAACTTGAAAAAGAAATTTAATTTGATTTTTTAAATAAACGATTTCACCGATTTACACGCGTTTTCCCTTGACCAAATTTTGACCGTATCACCCTTTAATTACCCAAGTCATGAATTGTTTTTCAGTCTCTAAATTTGAAATTTTGTTGACTTTCAGAATCATTTGTTTTAAGCTGACATAATAAAAATTGGGAAGAACAATTATTTTAGAAAATTTGAGCATAAATAAATAAAGATCTTGAAGAAATCTCTCAGACTACGATGGTAGGTTGGCTGTCTTTATTAAGGATATTTTCAGCCAGACGCTGGTTCATCTCCCAGAACTTAGTCTGAACCTTCAGACTGTGGAACTCTGTAAAAATTTGAGTTTTAGATTTTCCACATTCCAAAGCCCTAGAAGTTCAGATTGGTTTCATGTACCAGGACATTAAAAAATAGAGATCAGATGTCGGATTTTGAAAATTTTCCACTTTAAAAATAATTGGAACTTTTTCAAAGTTCTTGGACTTGGAGAAAAATAAACATTAATGTCTTAATCAAGAGTATTTCAATGAAAATTGCGATATAATTCAAACTCAAACGCAAACAAGAAGACTTTCAACATAAATATAAGTTAGTTTAAAAATCCCCCTTATTCCTGGTGAAACCTGAAAATTTAAAGAAATTTGAGAGAAGGGTATCTAATTAATACTAAGGGGAATTCCAAAGTAGTTCTGTGGAGAACCTTAATAGAATCCTGAGAAGAATTTCCAAAATAATTATGTAAAGAAATACCACGGAAGTGTGGGACGGGCATTTTAGAAAACATTAAAAACATTTAGAGAATGTTGAGAAAAATGGAATGGAAATAGTGAGGAAAATTTTGAGTGCATTTTATGGTCAATTTCAAAAGATTTCGAAACATAACTACAAGGAAATTTGAACTTTAATTTCAAGATAAATATGACGTTAATTTAAATCCTAATTAATAGAATGAAATCCCAGTATGTTATGTTACCGTTTTTGTTCCTGTCCCCTTCTTATCCACTTTGAGCGAGATAAATCAGGAGATAGCGAGAGCGAGGAATGGGTTATAGCTATATGTCAGTTTTGTTTGCCAATTTTTTTGACGTAGGACTACGTCTTTGATTTCTATATGGAGGTACACTTTGTGAAAACCAAAAATGGAACATGTAACAAATTAAGAAAGATTTTGAACGGTAATAACTCAGCTGCCCCTGGTCCAATTTTAATATTTTTATCACCAATCGATCAGAAATATGGCTACGCATCGATAACAATGCTTCTAAATGTTGATTTTCAACAAGAAACTATTGAAAAACTGGTAAATGTCCAGCATTGTCCAAAACCGTCGAATTAACTAACAAATCCACCAATTATCTACACGCATATGCTGCTTCCCCAGTACAGTCGTCAGAGAGTAGTAAGTAGACGAAACAAGTCGAAGTGGCATTCACCTCCGATCCTCGGGCACGTGCAAATAGGGAGGATGGAATTGCGTAATATTTTGCACACTCATCGCCATACTCAGAACCACACGCTCCCAACGACCACACCACTGTGTGGTGATGTTCGGTCGTCGAAATTAGTAGCAGCAGTAGCAGTGCTTTCGACGTGTGGCATTGAAAATTGTTCTCCAGTAACAACGAAAGGCTGCCTGCAAGCAGCGAGCTGCAGAGCCCACATAAGCAACCATCAAAGGAGGAAGAAGCTGCACCGCTATGCTATGGATCGGAATCAGTAGCTCTTCGTGAGTCACTGCGGGTCGGTCATCTATGCCAAGCGTGTCACCCTCGCTCCAAACGACATACAGCTCGACAGCCTCATCCGTGTTGAACACCCAGCTCAGCATTACTCAACCATCACTACAAAACGTTCCTTTTCAGGGCCACCAAAAATTTGTTAAATAGTATTATTTGGACATTGGTCAAGGTCATCAGTTCCCGCAAGCAGCTAGCTATCAAGGCTCAACCTGTCTATAGAAGGTGTGGAATTGTAGGCCTGAATATATTGGTGCAATTAGTTTTTCCTCAGCTTTCATTCCGCACGATTCGTTTCTTTCGTTTGATCAATCATCCTTGTAGTGACGTCGTAAAGATTGTTTCAATCAGCGCTTACATGTGAAATTTAATGTGGATTATAGAATATTTTGTATGCTACCAAAATTTATGACTGGTTTGCAACTAAATGTTGAGATAATTTATTGATTATTGAATCATCACACTGTATACCATGAAAAGGCAGCCTGTTTGTGAGTTTTTGCCTGTTTTCAAGTAAGGAGTTATCATAAAAAACAAAGCGCCAACTGGTATTTCCCGGCGACTTTACTAATAAATAAAATCAAACAAAATCTTCAAGCAGAACTAGCTAGGATTTGTTTTACTTCATATTTCACAAAATTGCTTTCGAGTGTTAAGACATCGTCTCCCGCAAATTTTACATTTTTCCCTCTACCAACACATATATCAGGGCTAGATAGATCTCCACAGGATCTATAGAATCCACGCAATTTCAAAAAATCAAAATGCAAAGCATTACGAAAAGAGGTCAGGTTTTGACCAATAGCAGATAGATTTTAATTCTAAACAAGCCAAACGATTCAAAATTTATCTACCAATCTGCTAAAATGAACAATTAATTAATTTTCAATAGGTCATTATTGAAAAATACCGAATGTCCAACTGTTGCAATGGTGATCAAAATTATCACCGAATGTCTGAAAACAGCGCATTCCCTAACACAGACTTAAAAATCGAATTCGATGCGGTCCCACTGAACG